TTAGTATATAGGTTTGTCCTGTTTCTTTCATTTAAGAACAGATTTGAGTTTTAAATATCACATTATATAAGTGATAACTGCTTGATTAACTTCTAAGTGCTGCAATTTAGATAAGGTCCTTGCTAAGTTTCAAAAACAATTCGGTCCTATCTTTCACAATTATGTGACAGCCTCAAAAAAAAGGGAAAACATACACAGAACACATTTCATATATAATGAATTGCAGCAAGTAAATGAACAGTGAAAACCGGCATTAGAACAAGGAAAAAGCCACCAACATTTGAAACATTTAAGTACTTACATGACAGATATATGTTCATCTCACAAAGGAAAGAACTTTAGCTCTCTCAAATTAAATTAATTGAATTATATAAGCAGCAAAAGCAACTGTGATCACAACTTGGACCTTATTTGTAATATAATGGAAATTGTCAGTTAAAGAAAAAGATGCACCTTATCAGTTAGTTACAGATTAGTAACTGAATCACTATTTCAATCATCTGAAATTGGATCAATTGACCAACAAATCCTTGCAGTTCTCAAAGTTATTTGAGTGAATAGTAGATGCAAGCTGCTAAAAACAGGTTATATTTGAGCTTTTATAAACTTTTTTTTAAAAAGATAAAATAATCAACCATACCAAACATAACTTCAAAGTCCAAAGACTCTGGGTTTATGATGATTTTGGTCATACTTCCTAAAAATATTTCTGAACATTTCATTCCAAATATAACTGACCTTGTCAAGTCCTGGATCAAGTCCCTAATTACAGCTGCCTTTCTGCTTCACAGCAATGACTTTACATAGCTGGTTCTGGCTCAGTCAGTGCAGTTCACAGTGCTAAGCCAGGTCTCTGTTCTCCGTATACTGGAGAAGGGTAATGAGTCCTACAGTTGCCAGCACACTGAGTAGGGAAAACACAAAAAAACCAACCAGAATAAAAAAAAACAAAAACAAACAAAAAAAAATACAAAACACACCCAACCAAAATACACACCACCACTGGGAAAAGACAGTTGTGTACAAAAATCTCCACACCTTTTTGGGGGATTAACAATCTAGAGGACTGACAAGCTGACTGAAAGTAGCTTATCGACCTATGAACACAGGGTAACTCTTCCGAGTAACTTTTCTGACTCCCCCACAATTCCCTCCTTGAGTTTATCACCAATACAGCAGGAACAACTTAGCTCTTGTAGAACAAATTCTGAACCACTGGAGTTCACAATCCAGGCTATTAATCATTACTTGATCCCACACTGATTTATTTTACTACATAAAGTCACACTCACAACTTGAAGCAAGTTTGGCACAACTATGAACACATGAGAGGTTGTAAGTTCCAGAGCGGAGGAGACATCTAAGTTGAAGATGTCTTACATATAGATGCACACAATCAAGTTGGCATTCTGGGATTCAAAGCAGGGATGGGAGGGGGCAGGGAAGGGTAGAACTGCTGGAGAAAGAGATGGCTACTTTTCACTCGTTCTGTATACAGAGCATTAAAATAGAATGTCAGTGCCCTAAATTGATTCCAATGATAATTACTCTGAATTTGTTCAATCTAGCTCAACAAAACGCATAGTGTATTCAGATAATATATCGTAAAACATTACTCATGGCTAGGCTTCGCGAATGAATTTTTGGGAAGTAAAACATTACTACTGATTGCAAGATTAACACCCTGCTCTCCACAGGCAGTAGCAGTTACATGTATATGGGAAAAAAAAACAACCATAAATTAAGGGAAATGGGAGTGGTTACATTGAGCAGATACCAAATGTGATTTTTCAGATGAAAGTTTCCTTGCCAAGTCAACAAGACATTAAACATTACTTTCAATTTGTATGTCACTGAATCACTGTCAAAATCCCATACTAAAGACCTCATCCGCAGTGCTGTTTCTGCTAGGTCAGTCTTCTAAAAGACCTCTGAAGTTCAAACCACAGAACTACATTACACATAATAAACACTTATTTGCTATTTTAGTTACCTACCGCTGCAGTACTGCGAGATCCACACTGACCACCCATGTTAGAATAACTAGAGTAGGATCAGATTTTGACAAGTTCTCTTACCCTCTCATACAACCAGAAATCTTATCTACTCAGTGACCAATAACAGTCATTCAAGGTTCCTGAGAAGGTTAGTACTGTATCTTGCAGCTAGCAACTTCTTACCTGCCTATTTTAATTTAACTGTAAGCACTTAATTTCCCCACTGGAAAGTTCAGGCTTCAATCTATACTGGACTACAGATTCATGCAAGCTAGGACAAAACAATTAACTTAGGCAGAGACACTATGCCTAGAATGAAAACAACAGGTGCTAAGATACCTGATTTCTCAATAATGTATGACTGAAATTGCCTATACATTTTTGAAAAACCTAGTCCATTGGGGCCAACTTGATGGTATTGAAGTGATTAAATAAATCCCTTCTATATTTTTTGTAAAATACACTGGCAATCCAGAAAACCTGACATCCTGTTTGCTGTTAATATTCAGAATTACAATAGTAAAAATATACTGATACATAGAAAATACTTCACAAACGTGATATCCTTTCTAGACATCACAGAAATACTACTGAATCATCAGAAATCTTACAGCTCACAAACTAGTTCATCTTAAAAAAAAAATCAAGTATCTTTTAATATATATGAAAGATCCTACATACACAGAAAACCATTACCTCCTAATGTGGCATTCATTTTTCCTTAAATGAAACTGGTCTACACTTTGGAAAATTAAAATTAGCACCATAATCACACAATGAAAACTGGACATTTAATAAAGAGTTCTGTATTAGCTAAGATAAAATGCTCAAAAATTACATGAAATTCCAAGCTGTTACATAAACAAGTGAAAAACAACTCGGAAAAAGGGTCAGACAATATGATGCTAAAAAACACAACAGGAAGTCTAACCACTAAGTCTTCAATTGGGAGATGCAGATATGAGAATATTCTATGAACTAAAAGACTATGTTGTTAAAGGTACAGAATGTACTTGAAGAAAAAAGCAACAGCAAGCAAGCTCTCAAGCCACACAACAGTTTCAACTGAGCCTCAGCTGAATTAAAAGTCAGACACACTCAAAGTAACAGTTCTTCCCATCAAGCTTCAAAGATATAGACTGTCTACAATAGAAAACCAAGACTGAAAGTAACTATTTAGTAAGAAAAGTGAAAACGACCTTAAAGAAAATAAACGATGACAAATACTAGCAAAAAAAAAAAACAAACAAACCACCACCTTGTGTTTCACAAGATAATCAAACTCCTGGCTCATTATCCATGGGTATTTGTGCTGCCCCTCTGACAACTGGTGTTGATGAAACACAAATACACTTCAGCTATAGGAGCACCCAAATAACAAAGATTAGCATATCCAAGGAGTCTATAATGACCTGAAGCAAATAAAGTGTTCCAGAAAGTCAAGTCAAGAGATAAAATTTTGGTACTCTTAACTGTCCTCAGACTTCCTCTGATGACTTTTTAGCGAATTCAAGAATATCAGCCACAGACAGGTATCTGTATCATCTGCTTAAGCTCTGGCAGTGCAACTGTGCTCATCTGACACCCTAAAAATCAAAGCCACAATGAACATGTTAAAGCACTGCCCCTTCCAAATCACACTGAATCTTTAAGTGCTTAATATTTAAAAGTGGTCAAAGCACATTTAAAACATGATGAAGTACCCCACTTATTTCTGCTAGTGTAACAGACTGATGAGATTGTTTTCACTTGAAAAAATAAAGTACTTTGTATAAACTTGTTTTAAATTCTTTAAAAAATACACTGGATTAGAATTAAAAACGTGATTTTCAGAACACTTATTACTGAGACCTTCAGTGAGTTTTGTTGTACTAGCAAGGCTGAACAGCAAGCAGTTCCACCTCACAATGTGAAAACACACTTCAAGAGTGCCTGCTGTAGCTCTCATTAAAGGTGTTTATAAAACAAAACTAACTAAAAATTACAAAGATTCCAAGGGTGGACAAGATGGTATGTTTAAAGGTTACAGCATAAAAGGTATAAATTCAAACCAATATGCTTAATTTCATCATGCAGCAAGTGAGGATGGCTTTCACCTGCACTTCACATACAGCTCTTCAACATTAGCAGGCATATAGGTGTATGTTAAAATCATTTTTATTTCACATAAGACTATGAGAAATCGTTTCTTGTATATACTTCTGCCATGCTTAAGCTTGCTTTGTTGTTTACTACTCCCATTTGGTTTTGTTGGGGAATGGGAGAAAAAAACAGAACTACTCTAGAAGTGCAAACCTCTGCCTTTACCAACGTGAGAAGTGAACTGCCTGTGCAACTGTGCCAACATGACAAAGCAGGAAATGCTAACCTAAACTTTGGTTCCAAATTTGGAGGTAGACTCAACACAGGCCATTTCAGCGCAGAGTTTATGACCCCACAATGCCGAGACAGAAGCCATGCTCTAAGGACTTTTGAGAGCAAGGAAATCCAGTAACAATCCTCAAAAACCTATTGGGAAAATAAAACTGCTCAACAACTTAAAGAAAACAGAACATCACTGCAAAAACATAATGCAGTCCATGTCAGGGGACAATATTTCACATGTGATTGTTGTGGGTTTTATAAGCTCAGAAGATCCTAGACATGGACAAGCACACAAGCAAGGAGTCAGCCTACAACGTGTGACTTAAAGCTCTCTTGTGCCTACAAGGATGATTAGACTTGATCTCCTGGGTATGCTATTCACCTGTATCTGGAATACTGTAGTATTTAAGTCATTATGGCAAAGCATGCTGATCTCTACAGACCAATGTTAAGTTTTACTGTGTGAACACATCAGCAATTCTGCTATTGTAGCTATGAATGGGTCTAACTATATATTCAGAGAGAACTATGAAGTAGCAGTTAACCTAAGATTGTATTGTTTGATGGTCATATGTGGCATGAATAAAACACTTGGAAAAAACTTAAGGTGTTTAAAACAATGCCAACAATACAGGATACCTTCCAACTTCCAGGTCAGAAATAGCTCTTTCCAGCCCTCAGCATATTTTTAAGTTCCCAAAATACTCTTAATCAGTTGAATTCCATTTGGATTTTAGTTTGTCTCAATATTTCTTAGTTATGCTTCTTTTCATATGTGAAATGCACTGCAGAAGAAAAAAAAAAAGGCTTTCACCAAGACTGCACACAGCCTGGTAAGTCATCCAACAGTGTTTCATGTATTACTCTAACTCCAGGCAGCACTGTGAATGAAAAATACTTATCCTAAGTCCACTTGCATTACAGAAGCATTATGGTTAACTCTTCTGTTGCAAAACAACTAAGTTAGCATATGCTTTTTTTACATCAAATTTCTTTAAAAGTCAAACTCATCTCTAAGACAGTTTTACTGTATCAATAATAATTACAATGCTGAAGAATATGTGCAAGATACTCTAAGGGAATAAAAAGCTCATAAAAAGCTTATGTTATTGAAAAACACTCTATCTGCAGTATTAAAACAAAATTTTACCCTGAAAAAAAAAAATCTGTAAAAATACCTTGATGTATCAACTCAATCATTTCGAAATCCACTTAGATAAGTGTATTTTAGCCTCCCCAAGCTTATTCTATGCAATACTGCTGAAAAAATAGGAGATCTTCATTCCACAAATAACGAGCAAGGTGAAACACATGGGGTATGGGAAAATCAGAGCTTTAGCAATTTTGAACATCTGTCAGATTCTAGTTTCGTCAGTGCTGTGTTGGTCCTTTGCATGTGAATATCAAAACTCTATTGAAAAGTATATTTTACCTACCTTAGATTCAGTGCTTAATCTTCGAAATCTCACTACGAACTTCAAATAATTGAAGTACATTGACAGTTCATTTCAATCATTTGTTTACATTTTTACTATAACAGCAGCTACATTTTCCATGTTTTCTATTTCCACAGAAACATCTATTAGTATTTAACCCTTCTATCAACGATTACAAACTGCACATTTACTTCACTCAAAACTATTTAGTTAAATTGTGACTATACATGTACTGCTGAACAAACCATAGTTGTAAGACTTAGTGTACTCCAAGAGGACAAAAAAAAAATCTGCTAGTAAAAGGCTAAGTATTTCAGACTACCTAAAACAATGGAGAAGCTTAACTGGAGAAAAATAAGAGAAGTCAATTAGCTAAGGGTAAACTGGGCTAATCAAGTACAACATTTTACATGACAGTAAACGTTTCCTGAAATTCAAGTGTTTAAACTGCTTTCTTCCTGAAGACATCCAAATCCTGTATTTTTCCTAAGCTCTCCATAAAAATGCAGAAGGTGAGAAGGACCGCTATTTTTAGCGAAGGCTAAAAGCTGACACCCTATTTGAACATTCATTCTTCTACTATCATAATCATCACAAAGCATACTATGGGGGGAAAAGCTATTATTGGATTCAAGCAGTATAATACTGAATTTATCAATCTCAAAGTGCTGCAAAAGTTAAAGGAACAGTCACCTTAAAATATGTGTACTTTCCAAAACGTTTTTGTCTTGACAAAAGCCTTCACAAAAACCTGGATCTACCAATCCTACCTAAGATAAAGTGTTTATAAAGTCATAACATAGCATTAATAGTAGAAACAGCTTTTGAAAAAAATCTTCCAGGTTCTTAACAATCTAAATGTATCGACAGTGTCCCTTTAAGATCTAAATGTGAGATGCAGTGATCAGCTGACCACTTGATAACTCAATCTTTGAGTAACTGAGTCAGTACTTATTTAATTAAGTAGCATGATAAAAACTCATCATAAAAATCCAAACATTAAAGTTGCAAGAAAATATGAAGCAGGAGATGTTCTTCAATTTCAGAATCACCGTTCAGCCATCACTCTTGTTCAGGATGTCAGCTGATGGAGAACTCTGGCTGACTTTAAAAGAAATCAAGTAAAGTGAGTCACACTGCCATTCAAACAAAAAGTTCATACTCAGTAGGGGGACAAAATATCACACTGTTGGATGACATAACCAGAGAATCCCATCAAGCTTGTATCATGTCTTGTCATTTGTACGTATAAGAAAAGTCTGTTTCAAACATGTGAAACAAGTGGATCTTGACAAATATCTTAGAAGCTTGTCGGTACACTAAAATACAAGAAAGTCTGTCAAAAGATCTTAAGCCAGAAAGACTTCCCACAAAAAAAAAAAAAAGGTGCTTAATAAAAGTTTGGATTTATTATGTCACATAATACCACACCTAAGAGAGTCTAAATGTTGCTTTTTTGTAAAGTTATCTCCTCCCACTCTAAGATAATCATTCTTCAAACATCTGCCTGCTATATTTTAGTTAACCACTATTTTGTGATCTTAATATTTGCAGGTGCTTTAAAAAAAGAGAATCAGCACTTGATGTTCTGAGTGAAAACTATTTCAAATGCAAGTGAGCATTCTGATCACTTATTTTTCTGAATTTTTAAGTTTCTCAGACTATAGTTAAATACCCATTCATCTGGAGCCAATTTTAGGTAGTAGACATGAACAACAGGAAGACAGGATAAAAAGACACAGCACTCAAGGACCAATGTGAAGTTGGGGACAGTTAATTGCCCTGGATCTCACCCTGCAAATGCTGGAGGACCAATTAAGTGCTCTGGAATTATATCTGATTTATCTAAAACAGCCAAAATGGGAACCTGTGACTTCAGCAGCAGATGACCTGGCACCTGCAATATATTCATCTATTTTTGCAGACACTAAAAAGAGTTAGGATTTCTATTTAGTCACCTGACTGCACATGTGAATACCTCTTCAACAGCCAGCTCCACATGTGGAATGGAGCAAAAAACATGTATAAGCATGGGTGGGTTCAAGCCCAGAGAGACTTATAACCAAAACAGATAAAAGTCATTGCTTCATAGAAAAAAAGGGATATTGCAGTAATGAACACTACCTGTGAGTTAAAACAATCATGACAACTCAACTGCCCACTTGATTGAGTAGCTGAGCACAACTGGTTCACTTAGAGCAAATTATTTGATGTGAATTAGAATAATTACCAGTAGTATGGGAAAGAGCAAGTATTCTGTGTATGTGCCTACAGTGGTTAAGTGTTCAAAAAGATTCATGTAGTTCATATAACTAAACAAAAACATCAAAATACAGGGAAGATTATACACAGATGTATGAGGACAGCAGATGGTAATAGGAAAAATATAACCATGTGTGGAACTAGCACTTTTTTTTTTAATTTCATCACTAAATTGGGATTTTAAAAATGTTTAGGCTCACTTGATCATCTAGTGGCAAAGCATTACAATGCAGCATGACAAATTTCCTTCCCAAACAAACGTGGTATGTTATCACACAGACTCTGCATAGACTGGAAAGGGGAGGGGAAGAAAGGGACTTATGTTCACAACCACATTTCCATGTTAAATACCAAGAGCAGTAACTAATCCTCAGATAGTGAAGGAAGCATTACATGAGAATAACAACCAAAAAGGGCAGACTCAAGTTAGTACATCCCATGTGAAAAATACACGTTATACTTTGCCCAATACTAATAACATCCTTCAAGTGAAACAAATCCAGGCTTTGATCCAGCGCCAGAAAGAACTTGGTACACTTCCTAATGCACACATTTAACCTACAGTTTCTGTCTTTTAGCAACTCATACTAATGAGCAAAAGAATGTTGGTCCACCCCAAACGGAAGTCCTGCTTTAAAGGGATAGTTGCATTTTAATGGCCCATCTTCTCGAACGAAGATTTGGGGAAAGGTCTTTTACCTTTCCAGCCTGCGCAATGGATTTTTTAGGTGAGACACAGCCTGCGCTGAACTGAGCCCACCCTTTAATCCTAAGGTTCATCTGCCGGGGCCAAGCAAGCTTGGACAATGGCAGTGAGGTCCTCAGGACGTAGGTTTGTTTAGTGTCCTTCTCATAGATGGATGGCCACACAGGGCTAACGACCTCCATCAGGCCAGGAGACCGGGATTTGAACCCGCATTAGAGATATTTTAAAAGCACAACTTCTCAAGGCTCTGGTACAACAGGCAGGTTTAAAAAGACATAGGTATGTGGAGAAACGTTGCAGTAAACTCATTGGAAAGAAATGGTTTTGAAAAAGTCGTGCTCCTTCCAGTACTTTTCGACATGCAGTGTTATTACAAAAATGGCTCATCTCCCAAACTATACTTAATTGATTATACAGCACTGTATAGAGAAAGCAAAGTTCTCATAACCATATCAGGCTCCCTAGCTAAGGTACTGAACATAGACTTGATACAAAAAAAAAAGTTACAGTTGAACTGAGAAGGTCAGCTTCGAGGCTATGTCACAGCTTAAAAACTGAGGAATAACTCAATTTAAAAAAAGGTAAGTTGGGTACCAAACTATGATCACTGACTATTTCCTCAAGCTATTTGAGCTCTGCTTATTTTTGAAGAAGTCCCCATATTGAGTATTTCATGAAGATGCCGCTTTGGACAACTAGCTAATTCCTACCTCTGGGAAGTTTGTGTTATAAGATTTTTTTCACCTATTAACAGTCAACCTACCTGCCCATAGTTGTCTATGCCAGTTACTAATCTATTTAAGTTTAATAAATCAAAAGCTGTCCTTAGGGACTGGCCAAGAGTCGTAAGTCCTTCAGCTTGAAGGTTCTTCAGTTCATTCATAAACGTTGCATGGTTTTCCTTCCAGCCAGCCTGCAAAGAGAAACATGAGAAGACTTATTCTGCAGATACACATTTTACTTTCCTGTTAGGCTACAAAGTGCCTTCCACACTGCATACAGCTCACTACAAATGCTAACAAAACAGAAGTTACTTTATATTTAATGCTGTCGAAAAAGCATGAAAAGATGCACTCCTCTTAAACCTTAGAGCTCCCCACCTATCAAACAGGCATTTTGTTCCACAGGACAAATTTCTGTGAAATCACCGGTGCCCAAACCTTATAACTATTTACACCACCCTCCCAGAGCCCTTTCCAGATGGAAGCCAGTTACACTGTGAAGCGACTTCCAACAGGTTCACCCTCCTCTATCATGTGGACCCATCACCCTCTTCCCCCGCGCGGTGCGCCCCTCCCTCCCGGGCCCGGAGGGGCGAGGGAAGTGCCGTCCCCTTCCGAGTCGCGACTCTCCGGGCTGAAGTCGGTCCTTCCCCCAGCTCGCCCTTTCACAGCCGAACTCTCCTTGGAGTTGCTGTCACTTCTCCCAACTTGAATAAATATCCCCCACAGTTCATTGCTGCTCGCACGCACCGCACAGGGGAAAGCGTCGGCCATGTTGATGTCAGCGCCGCCGCCGGAGCCCGTGTGTGCCGCGCTGCCCGGACCGCCGACAGCCGGGCCGAGGCGGGCGGGGGGCGGCGGGGCCGGAAGGAGGCCGGGGAGGAGGGGGGTGAGCGGGGGTTACCTTGATAGCGTAGGGAGGCTCCTCGAAAGTGACCAGCATGTACCTGTCTCCCCTGCTGGCCGGGTCCCGGGCTCGGAGCTGCGGCACGGGGGACAAAGCAGAGGGTGAGCCAAG